CGACCGCACTCCCCCCCCGCGGGGGGGGAGGCCCCTCTCTGGGCTTGCTGATGCTGCGTGGCCAGGGCAGTGGGGAGAAGGTAGAGAAGTAAGTGGGCAAAGCTTGAGTTGGCAGGCCTTCTCTCTACACGCCTCTGGGTTTTCTCTCCCCCATTTAAACTTCCATCCAGAGGAGGTTTCACTTCACGTTGGCTTATAGAGGCCAGGGCGTATAACTGTCAATGCTTTTTAAAAACAAGACTGATTTAAATCACGATTTCAGTACTAAAAATCAAGGTGTTTTGATTTAAATCAACAAAAAAATCTGAATTTTTAATGAAAAAAATTAAATTGTGGTTTAAATCAAATCCCCCCCCCCATCTTCACTCATCTCGTTCAGCCTAGATGTGGTTGTGTCACTGAATTTCTTAGACCTGTCCTAAATATCCTGATCCCCTCCCCCAGTCATCCTCTGGGTGTTGTTACTTTGTCATAAGGTGGACAAACTGGCCTGTGGGTCACATCCAGCTTCTCAGGGCCCCCTACCTCTGATAACTGCCCCCATGGATGACAAGAGCATGTGTGGTTTTGATTTTAAAATGTTCTTGCATATTTGAGCATTTCTGGGCCTGGCACAACCTGCCGTAGGTTCTCTTGCATATTTGAGCATTTCTGGGCCTGGCCCAACCTGCCGTAGGTTCGGTGGTGGTGGTGGTGGTGTGTGTGTGTGTATGATTGATCTCAGGTGGCTCCAGGAAAGTGGTCCACTCTTAAAGGTTATGTGTGTGTGTGTGTGATTGATTGATTGATCCATTCTTAAAGGTTGGTGCCTTTAGAAGCTTATTACAATCTTCCCTGTCAAAAACTCCCTTTCCTCACTTTTAAAATGTGGAGTGGTTCTAAAGTAACCGATGTTTGTGGGAACAGCTCCCAGAGATTGGGAAAAAAGGCTTATTTTTCTTGTCTGCTTCTTTTCCAGATTCAACTTTCCCGCATCAAACCCCCCTGGGTGGTTAAAGGTCAGCCAGCCTACCAGATATGTCCTCGGATTATCCCCAATCCAGAGCCCTCCGGCCAGGACGGACGTGGGGCCTCAGCCCCTGCTGACTTTAAGGCCTGTGCTCTGCAAGGCGGCCGCCAGCGAGAGGCTGTTGCTCCTGCCGCCGCCATTGGAGGTGGGGGTGGGCCAGGAGGTGGCGGCGGAAGGAGCACAGACAAAGGTGGCGGCAGCGGTGGTCGTGGTGGCGGCGGCGGCGGCAGGGTCCGGCCCCGCGGCCCCCGCCCCAAGTACTGGCGAACGAAGAGAACTCGTGGGAAGCGTGTGCCACATCTACAGCGAGCACAGTTACTGCCGCCTTCCTGCCTAGCGGAAAAGACAAGCTGGGAGCTGGTCGAAATAAGCTCCCCTCGGGCAGTCGAGGGAGATCTTGTGTTGCGACCGGCTGCGGATCTTGCTTCCTCTGGCTCGGAAGGTGCCAGCCAGCCTGCGGAGGCTTCGGAGGGCGGCTCCGTGGTTAGCCCTGGAGCCAAGCTGCCCCTGGGCTTTGTGGCCCCTGAGACGCCTGTGAGTGGTGCCGGGCATCTGCTGGGGGATGTCAGCAGTGAACCGTCTCCAGCTGTTCCTTCCCAGGAGAGCGACAGCGACAGGGAGAGGAACGGTCTCCTTAGAGATGGAGGTGACGTGGAGAGTCTCGAAGACGACAAGCCGGTCGTCGTGAATTGCATCTCGTTTGTGGATGAAACCGCAGCTAGCCCCAGTTACCCTGCAGCTTTGGCCTTGGAGAATGGCAAGAATCCATCCGTTGATGGATCCGGCTCTGGTGAACAGGGCCCTGGCTCTGTATTGCAGGATTTGACCCAGTCATCTCATGCCTCTCCACGCCAACTGCCAGCCCCATGTCACGGGAGGGCGGCGCTGAGCAGGCTGCAGGGCAATGATCTAGAGAAACCCTTGGGGGGCTTAAACGCATCCCATGGTCGCTGCACCCTCGAAAGCAGCCTTCCTTCCTGGGAGAAGCTCTTGAAGACAGGAGGGATGGCAGCCGGCCAGCAGGCAGGAACCGGGCCAGTCCCTTTCAGCGATGAGGAAACGAGGAGCGTGGGGAGCGAGACCACGGAGACGGCGTCGGACCTGGAACCCGAGCTCACTGATGACAGTGCAGAGTTGAATGACAGTAAAGCAGCGGCGGAAGAAGCCGGTCCCTGCAGTGACCGCCTGGAGGAATCTAGCGAGATGAGACCTGGACGTTCCCCACCCGCAGAGGTCTTGCCTCCTGAAGAGGAAGTCTCTCTCGCCCATTGGCCACCAGACTGGAGAACGCAGCCGCCTCTTCCCCAGAAAGCTTGTGGGACGTCTCCTCCTGGCATAGACTTAGAGAGCCAGGAAAGGCCTGTGGTGGCGGCTCCCAAAGCTTTGTCGGTAGAAGCGAGCAATCCCCTGGTGGTGCAGTTGCTCAAGGGAAGTCTGCCTCTGAGATCAGTTCTTCCAGGGGCTCAGAGCAGCTCCAAGGCCATAAGTGGGTCCTCCTCTCTGGAAGAGCCCGCCACAGAGCGCTCTTTCCCCGTCGGAAACGAGAACGGTGGGGGCCTTTCCCAAAAGACTCTCCAGGATGAGGGTCTGGGCATGAACGGCACGGTGAGGAACGGATACTGCATGCCAGGGTCCTTTCAAGGCTCCATCACAAGCCAGGGCACGGTGGGCCGGCTGGAAAAGGAGGCAGAGGGCTCCAAGAAGAGCCTCAAGTTCAGGCCCAGTCCCAGCACTCCAGATCAAGGTGCGAGTACTTCCCAGGAAACCTATAAACTCCCAGAAGCCCTGCGAGGGAGAGCCCTCCCTTCCGGCGCCTGCGAAGCAGAAGAGGAGGCTTCGGTTGCAGCGCCTGCAGGATCCGCCACCGGCCAGGGCCAAGAAGCAAAGCGGCAAGCCACCCCGGCACCCACACCATTCCCTCCTGGCGGAAAGCCCCCGGCGTCTCCCGATCCGCAGAGGGCTGGCTCTGTCTGTCCCGCCCAGGGCGTTCAAGGAAAGAAGGTCTTTGGCCCCAGCGGTCTCTGCAGTGCAGCACAAAGACTGCACCACCACAAGGGGCTGGAGCCCTTTCCCATGCTGAGCATGCTGTCCCACAGCAAGCCAGGGCCACCGGCCGCTAAGAGTACAGCCCTGCTTGCTGAAGGCAGGCGGCCTGTAAAGGAGGAGTGGCCGCCACGTGTGACTGTTGGAGGCGGCGGAGGGGTTGAGAACCGAGGGATCCTAGCCGGTCCTGTCTCAGCCAGGAGGAAAGAGGCCCGGCCTGGCCCCGCTGAGCGTGTGGAGCAGCTGCCGCCGCCACTGCATAGCCTCCCCCTGGCGAAGGATCTGCCCTTCTTCAAGTTGCCGAGAGAGCCAGGAAGGGGGCTTCCTCAGCCTCTGGAGCCCTCCTCCATCCCTTCACAGCTCAACATCAAGCAGGCCTTTTATGGGAAGCTTTCGAAGCTGCAGCTGAATCCTGCCAGTCTCAACTACGCCTCCCACGCGCCCGCTTTTTCCAGGAGTCTGGTGGGCACCATGATGCCGCTGGGCCCCAAAGCTGGCTCCCGCGGGGTCTCCCTTTCGGCGCAGATGTTTGCGGACAGCAGCAACCTGGAAGAAATTTCACTCAAGTGTTCCTGCAGCCTTAAAGCCATGATCATGTGTAAAGGCTGCGGGGCCTTTTGCCACGATGACTGTATTGGCCCCTCCAAGCTTTGTGTGTTGTGCCTTGTGGTCAGATGATGAATTGCGGCCCTGGAAAGACCAGACTTGTGCATTGGGTGTGTCTTTTTGATCACGAGGATACGGTAACGTCTACGCAAAGGACACCCCCCCAGGTGGTAAATAGAGGCAGTGTTAACCAAGTCTTTTTGTTTGTTTGTTTGTTTCCCTTTTGAAATTGGTGGTGGGAGTGGTCCTCTTCCTGAGGATTCGTCTTCCCACAAGAATTGTGGGACATTTTGCCCGCTGACGGCCGCCTTCCCTTTGGAAGGGGAGGGAGGACTTGCCCTGCCGACTCAGATGAGCCCGGCTTGCTCATGTTTGTCTTCCATTCTTCCTCTTCACAGCCTCCCTCTCCCAAAGACCAGAGGCTTTGGGCAAACCCTTTGGAGAGCCCTTCGCCTCAGGAGAGCAGGACGTGTCCGTGGCCTTCAGAGCTGCAGGGCAGGAAGAGGGGTGTCCACGGGAAAAGGGGAGCTTGCCTCATCATCAGGACGGCCGTGGCCACCGTAGACTGTAGCGCACGCAGTCTCCTGGTGGGAGAACGTGGGCCGTCAGTGAGTTTTGGGCGGAAGCAGTGTCATTTTTTAATTAAAATAAATAAATATAAATATATATAAATATAAATATATATATATAATTTTAAAGTTTTTCGTTCCTGGGTGTAAAAAGTGAAATGTTTGGCTCCTCTATGTATCCTCTATGCATCTGTTGGATCATGTATTTATATATTGTACACAGTTCTGGACGATTCTGTAAATTGATGTTGTGTACATACAGGGTTGTTTTTTAAAAAAAATCCTTTATTTTAACGGCTGCAGCAGTATTGCATTAAAGTGGTGTTGGTTCCTAATTGCTGTCCCTAGTCAGAGCTGCTGTGTTCTGTCTGTCCAGCCTCACCTACGGCCCGCCGGCCACCGACAGCCCCGGCGTTGGGAGGGAGGATGGCATTTCTGCCCAAGGCCTTGTCCAACACTCAGGCCCGGGAAGTTTCGTCTCTGGTTTTGCCCCTTCTGCAGCTCTGGAGAGAGCTGAAGGCTAGCACCCTTTGGGTGTCTCACATTTGGAAAGTGGCCACAGGCAGTGGCTTCTCCCTTTGAAGGGGGGAGGGAGGGAGAAGGAAGTTCCTTGTTGCTCTTAAAAATGAAAATATTGGCAGCCTCTCCTCCTCTCTTCTTTTACCTACCTCTCCCTGGACCAGCCTCCTCTTTTTTTCTTTCATTCTAGACCTCCCTGTTCAAGAGCTATAAAAGTGTAAAAATGGGACTTTATCTCGAGGTCGTTTACTCTCAAATTAAGTGGCAGCTTTTTAGCAGTAAACACAAGGAGATGAAGTGAATTGCGGTATTAGAGGCAATGACGCTGACAGTCTGAAATCTGCTAACCAAAGATGGGGGGGACATGGCTGGGAGGGGCTCGCTTTGCATCCCCCCCCCCCAGGGCCACTGCTGTGTACAGACGGATGCTGGTCTGGCGGGGAGAGGGAAATCCTCTCTGATGACCCCTAACATTGTATGTCCCTTGTGGTATTGGAAAAAAAATAAAACATTTTGAAAAGCTTAACATGTGTCTCTCTCATCTTCCTTCTGAAATGGCTTCATGGGGAGGCGACGAAGGGGGTCAGAGGTTGCCGTCCGTCCCTGTAGTTCAAAGGGGGCTTCCTCCCGTGCTTTGGTGGACACCTTGAAAGTTAGACTGACCCAGTCATTGGCGAGGCAGCTTAGTGACGCAGGAGGGAGCCCCTTCTAGATAAGAGCCTTGAGCGACGCTCACTCCATTATGGGGACCTTCTCTGCCTGTGAGTTCTTCCCTTAGGGAAAAGCCGAACGAAGGGATGACATTTTCTCCTCGAATTGAAACATGGCGGGGTGGGGAGGGTGGAGGGGTGACCTGGTGAAATGGCCCTCTCGCTGGGTCTCCCAAGTGCCATGAGACCTGCCTTGGCAGGTGGTGGTTCTGCAGAGTGGGAAGGGAACTTGCTCTGGTTTTCTGTCCCGGCAGGTATTGGGTGAAGTGAATCAAGAAGGTTGGAAGACAAGAGGGCCTGGCGTGCTCTGGTCTATGGGGTCACAAAGAGTCGGACACGACTTAAAGACTAAACGACAACAAAAGTCAAGAAGGGCCAAGTAGAAAGTTTGCGGCGTGGAAGTCGGTGGCGACCCGTCTGGCTGCAATTCCACTGAAAGCTCACCAATTTTGCACCTGCCATCCTGAGGTGGGGTGGGGTGGGGTGGGGTGGGGGTGGTTCTGGTTGGAAAATTGAGGGTTGGCCCCTGCTGCCTTTGGGAACGAGAAACTTTCTGCAGGTGCTTGAGCGCCTAGAGCCAAGAGAAGCCACTGCCGCCATGCTTGAAGGTGTGAGATGGTTTCTGTTTGTTATACAGTGTTTATTAAGTAGATTCAGTCTTATATGATATACAGACTTGGAGGAGAGGGGGAAAAGATCCACATACTTACTTAAGAAATCAGTGCATTTAGCAAGTATTACCATGGATGGAGAGAACTGCTTGATTCAAACAAACAGCTCCTTGGTCTTTGACGTGAGTGGGGGAAAGGAGGTGGGCCTGTGCTACTCATTTCACAAACAGAACAGAATTAAGTTGCATCACGTAGAACAGACACACGTTCTAAGAATTAAAATATTAAGCCACATTTACTGGGAAAAAAAAAGATGCACTGTATATAACACAAGAGAAGTTATTTCCATAGTACATGGAGGAGGGAAGTGCCCATCTGCCGAGAAGAGCCACAGGAAGTTGCATAGGTGCCTATCGGGGAGGTCCCTCTTGTTTGGATTTGATTTAAGCCATTCAGCCGATCGATCATTGAAGCCCTGTGAAACGCTGCCACCTCCAAGCTGGTTTTCAGTGCCGCTGACTTCCTTGGGAAGCAGCTCCAGGAAAACAGCAGGTGTATCTTGGGAATTGGAAACCACCGGGGGGGGTGTGTGGTTTCGCCACGCGGGGCTCGCCCACACCGGGGCCCTAGAGTTCCTCGGCCAGTGTTTTCCCCGCCGCCGTGGTCCCACTTCACGGCTCCCCGTCTCCTGCCCCCTTGGGGAAGCAGGAGTGAACGGACCCAACGGCAAAACCCTGTCATTTTTACTGGTGGGTGAAATTTGTCTTTTCATCTTTTTTTCTCCTTCAATGGTCCTGATGCTCAACGATTCACTTAAGGACCATGGAGAGCACGATCCCCTTTTTCTTGCAGTTCCTCCCAGCAGCTCTGTGGGTGCATGCACACGCGCGCACGCCCCCTTGAGTTTGGGTAGAGGGGCAGAGGAGGGGATACAGTGGAGAAGAGCCTGTGGCTTTTGCTCAGCAGATGATGGGACACGGGGAGGGGGCGCGAGGTGGACCTCAACGATTCACTTAAGGACCATGGAGAGCACGATCCCCTTTTTCTTGCAGTTCCTCCCAGCAGCTCTGTGGGTGCATGCACACGCGCGCACGCCCCCTTGAGTTTGGGTAGAGGGGCAGAGGAGGGGATACAGTGGAGAAGAGCCTGTGGCTTTTGCTCAGCAGATGATGGGACACGGGGAGGGGGCGCGAGGTGGACCTTCCTGACTAAGAGCCAAGTCTTGCAGGACGGGGGAAGGGGGGTTTAGGGGTGCTGGGAGTTCTGTACATGTAAACAGTACACTTCCACTGAGTCCAAAGTCGGGAGCAAGAAGTACAAAGGTTCACATTGGTCTTAGGTACATACAGGCGAAGAACTGAGCTGTACAGCTCTGAAACGACAACCAAACCAAACTTTCCTAAAGCACCACTAAATTATATAAAAATCAGACCATGGGCAGATTGTAGTTTGTATTCTGGTGAAATTGCTAGTCTACCTTGTAAAAAGTTTTACAAAAAATTACAAATCAAAACTTTTTTTTTATTTAACCCTCTGAGTTCAAAGCAGCATTTCTTAACGTATGAACTGGTACTAAGAGTTGAACAGCCACCTGTGAGGGAAAAAGGCTGGCCTTGAGGGATGGACTTTTTTGGAGGGGGGCGGTTTGTCCTCTGCTCATCCAGTGGGTCAAAATGCTGCCGGGGGGGGTAGTGTTTTTGAGACACAGAGGGAAAGTGGCAACACGGGACCCGACCCACAGAGGTTTCTCTTCTGCATGCGGGAACCAATCCCCATCCCTGCCGGCAAGAACAGGCCACCGCTGGCCTTTGGCAGCACATGTTCCCTTCAACAGGTCCCTGAAGAGACCTGGTAAGGGATTTCTGAAGAGGATGACGGCTGCAGGTTTTTTTACTAAAACAAAACAAAAAAGGGGGGGGCTTCTGTGACCCCGACCCACAGAGGTTTCTCTTCTGCATGCGGGAACCAATCCCCATCCCTGCCGGCAAGAACAGGCCACCGCTGGCCTTTGGCAGCACATGTTCCCTTCAACAGGTCCCTGAAGAGACCTGGTAAGGGATTTCTGAAGAGGATGACGGCTGCAGGTTTTTTTACTAAAACAAAACAAAAAAGGGGGGGGCTTCTGTGACCCAAATATGGAGTGCCTCGATGCCATACTCGCTCGAGTGGCCCCCCCCACAGCCCAGCTGCAGCTTGTAAGCCCTGCCAGGCCCGGCCTTCAGTCTCCTGAAGTCATCTTTTTTGGTCTTGACTGGCCAACCAGTGTTTTAGGATGGAAGCAGCAAAGTTACGCACATTAAGCCAAGATCCAGAGCGACTGAGTAGAGAGGCCCCAGAACCAGGGACGCCGAGGGGCCTCGGCTAGGGGAGTCCTCGGTGATTCTTTGTAAGCCCCCTGGGATACCTCTCGCCCTTCGCCCCGGCTCCCATCTCATCATGGCTATGTGTTCCCGGTGATGCGTTCAGCAAGGCCGCGCACAGGATTTTAAGGACGATTGTCATGACCTCCCTTTCGTGCTAAGGTTTTCACACAGGGGTATGAGTTAAGGTTCCCCCCCCCTCCTTTGTACAAGGGCTGTGGCTTGCTGGCGCCTCACACAACAACAAATATTTACACAAAAGCAAAACTTGGGGAAAGAGGAGTAGCGGGCCCTCCGCACAGGATGATGTGCTCTTCTGGCGGCAAAAACTGAGCAAGGGAGGATGTTCGGCCCAACGACTCAACCTGCCCTTCCCTAGAACCGCTCACTGTTCTCTCAAAGGGAAGAAACAATGGGGGGTGGTGGTGAACAAAGACGGGGGGGGCGGGGAACCACCGCCTGGACCCAGACCGCGGCGCCAGACTAAGCATTTTGTGACCAAAGGGGTCTGCAGCAGTTTGTTCCTGAGAACGTCTGGAGTGTAAGACGTGGCTTCAAAACGGGCAGCCTGACCGGGAGAGGAGAGGAAATCCTGTTCAAACAGGCCTTGCTTTCCGATGAAAGGGTTGCAGGGTGATGGCGGTGGGTCCTTCTTCTCGCCCTGTGGGGGAGAAGGGCTTCGGTGCTGGGGAAGGAAACGCCCCCCCCCCGGCCAACGCCCTTGCCTTCTCACGTGGGCAGAGGGCCAACCCCGAATGGAGAGGCAGGGAGGAGGAGAAATCTCCCCGGGGCGGGCAGAGGGCCACCGGGGCCATTTCCTGTTTCTGGCTGTTGCTCAGAAAGACGGTCGTGCGGCTGGAACTCTCGGTGCGGTCCCAGCTCCGTTCCCCGTTCCGCAGAAACCGTTTAGCAGCACAGGCGAATATTGCACTGAGCAAAAAAGCAAGTGCATCAAAAAAAGGGGGACCAGGGAAGTTGGGGGGGGATTTTCAGAAAGGAACAAAATGGCTCAATCTCTTTCCATACATCAGATGCGGGGGCTGGGGGGGCTGGCAGGTTTCCGCTTGCAGCAGTTCTTTCCCAGTCTTGCTGCAAAAAAGGTCTCTTTTTAAAAAGGAAAATAAATTGTGCAGAAACGACAGGAACAGGAAAATCCAGTTTGCTCGAGCTGCCCTCCCCCCATCATTTGAAAGGAGCCCGGTCCTGCCCAGACTGCCACCAGGGGAAGCAGCCCCCCCCGCAGTCAGGAATGGGGGGGGTGTTGAGAGCAGCCAAGTGCTGCTCAAGAAAGAGACAGGAGAAGGAAGGAGGACCACAGATGGAGAGTGAGGTAGAGGGCGGAGGAGGCAGGCGGGTTGGCCGGAGGGCCTGGCCGCTGTTTCTCTCTTGTCACCCCCCCACAACACACACACAGAAGAGCAGCTTTTCCTTCTAGGTGGCCGCCGGCCAGTGCTTCTGCCCAGAAGGGCCTGGTGTTCCAGTGGGGTCCGGGAGGAAGTGTTTTCTTGCAAACCCAAGTGGCTCCCCAGCTTCATTTCCACCCCCCACCCCCACCCCCGCCTGCAGAGCCGCGGGACGGAATGTGCGATAGTGCAGGAAATGAGCCTTTTCCTCCTCGGACAGACAAAAAAAAGTAGCAAAAGGGTACAACTTCAAGAATCCATTTTCAGAAAAAATAAATAAATTATGGGGATGGGGGAGAGGGAATGAAAGAGAGGAGATCCTGAAGCAGAAA